CACAACTACACCTGCGCCTACTACCACTACCACCACAAGCGCGCCAACTACAACGACTTCCACTAGCACCACAACATCAACTACGCCAACGCCTGCCGTTACTTCGATCGGTTTGGCTCAGCGCATCACAAATGGCCTCAGCGCGCAAAAGCCCAAGAAGCCGGACGCTGACAATGATCAGTTGCAGGAGCTCATCAATCGTGTACAACAGCTGGAACGTTTGAATTCGGATAAGCTTGAGAACAGCATACGCGCGACCACAACGGATACGCCCATACCATTCGTTGGTTTCACTACGCGCAAGGTAAATGCGCCTAATCCCAAATCCAATGAACTCCGTGCGCCCTCGAATGATTTCGCGCATCTGCAAGAGCTCTACCAACAGGTTGCGAGCGCGGAACAAGGCGCTTTTGGACGCGTTGAAATCTCTACTTCGGCCACTGCTGCGAAACCTTCTTCCGGCAAGCGCACACAAAATTTCGCACAAAAAATAATCGACATCACCAATGACACTGGCTCCGGTAGCAGCTTGCAAGAAGTGGATCCCAGCGACTTTGTGCAACTACAGAAGCTGCTGAGTAAAGTACAGGAGCTAGAGCGCGTGAAGATCCATGGCGTGCAGGGCATCTTAGAACCAGCCACGCCTACGCCAACTGTAAGCAGCTATACAAAGGATATCTCGACTTTATCCAATCTGGTAACCTCCGCGTCGGCGCATACACATGCCGTACAAAACACAAATGGAGCGCAGATTATTTACCCCGAGAAGGCGCATGAGTACAAACCATTCGAGAACATACTCACGCCGGAACATCAGCATCCAACAAAGTCACATGTGGACAAGAAGGGAGAGGCTGTGCCAGAACCCACCTCCAGCGAGGAGTTACGTGAGTTGGCTATGCCGGCACCAGCGAACCCAAAGAATTCATCATTCGACAAAGACTTTGAACAGTATCAGGAGTTCTTTAAGAAACTCGAGGATGAGGAGCGCAACTCGTACCAGAATATGCAGCCGCCGATAATACAAAAAACTGTGACGAAGGAGCCCCCGCGTTTCATTGCGACACACAAACCGCAAAAGCCCGGTAATGGGCAGCAGAAGGCTGATCTCGAAGAGCTGCAAAAGATCTTGAGCAATGCTCAGGAGTTGGAAAAATTAGGCATCACTTTGCCAACAGAATTATCCCAGCAGATTGAGACCAAACTTACGAACCACGCGAACAATGAAAGAGCTGAAAAACAATTGGAGTCTACTACCGCAAAGCCAGTGCATATAGTCACTGCAGAGCGTCCCAAAGCCAATGGAGAGTATATTGACCTAATAAGCAATTTGGGTGCTATAAGCTCAAGCACCACCTTCCCCACAACGAATCACGATGCAACCAGCGCTGAAAGTGTAGATGCGTCTAGCGAAAAGGAAGCCTTCTTTTCGCTTACGACGCCAAAGTCGCTGGTACCAAAAGAGCCCAAGCCTACCACGTCCAGTGCGCTCGACCTTCCCGTTTTTAGCGCAACTAAGATCATAGAAGCGGCTATCAAGCGCGCAGCCAACAAAATTGGCGTTTCCACTGAGCAGACACTAGGCTTCCAAAGGCGTAGCGATAAGGATGTGTATGCCGACATGGATCCTGGGAGCATGGACGATTTGATGGGCGAGTTTAGCGAAATGAACTATCAGCTAGCGTCACCAGATTTACCGGCAGGCACGTCACAAAGCGATGTGCCAGTAACTACTTTGAAAAGAGATACCAGTCAGCTACCGCCAGTTGAGGATGCACCCGTTGACATAACAAAAGATTTGCATGAGCTGCAGCGCTTAATCGGCAACCTGCAGGAGCTGCAACGCTTGAACCTCAGCGTATCTTCAGATTTGCTGCGTAAAGCGGATACGAAGTATTTGGAAACGCTGAAGAAGCAGCAAACAGCCGCAGATGACACTAGTAAAAGTCGGCGCCAAAGTGTTACGCCGCTTATAGTGATGGCAGTGAGTGCCGCCACTGGTGAGAGCACAACAGGAAGCGCAACAACAGACACCAGCACAGAGAAGAGCGCGGCCGACGGCGATTCTGATCTTGCTCCAGAACCAGTAGACGTGGAAGCTGCGGCAAGCGCTGCAACGAACAGCAACAGTGCGACAGAAGTGAGCAGCAGAAGCAGCACGACAACTACGGAAGAACCGCGCAATGGCTCGCTGGCCGATCTGGAAGACTCTTTTGGTGGCGTCGATACGAATAAGGAAGAACCGAAGCCACCCAAACGCAAGAATGGTTTCTACTTCTTAGCCGATTGGAATTCCTTCCTCGAAGTGGGTGATGGCGATGACCAGGTGATAGTGCGCTTGAGTCCGAAAATAGGCGATCCGCGACTATTTTTACCAGTGAAAATACCATAAAGTGGGTTAAAGGGACTGTAGCGTGTAAGTGAAAATGCAGAGTGGATTATTTTTGTAAATATTTATTATAATTAGTTTTGTTTGTAAGAGATTTCACAAAAAAAAATCAACTACAATTTGGATGGAGTCGAGTGCAATAGATGAGAAGCTTCTGACTCTTGAATGACGGGACCGAAAATTATATTTTTTTTTTGAGTTGCTGTTGCTTTATTAATTTTTTCTGCAACGAGTATAATTTATAAGGGAGGACCTGCCGGTTGCTGTGCCCTGGGATAAAGTTTCGGCACTGCAAAGTGACAAGATCCGTCTGGTTGGGGTGGTGGAATGACGCCGCTTGAGGGAGCCTCTTAGACTGACAGATTAGTAACTCTGCTCTTAGAAAAATTCAGTGGAGAAAATATCTAAGTTTGCCATTTTCCAGGCTGCCATCAAACCTAAACCCAATCTGATTCGTCTTTACCATATCGACCAGACCAAAGAGGTCGTAAGGTAGCTCTCCGAGTTTGTATCCCTTGGTTAAGGTATATCGTTGCTAACCAAACCTATACTTTTGCCGAGGATAAATATAAAGCTTGAAGTAGGCCAAATGGTCACTAGCCGGTTCCAATACACATAGGCCACTAAACGAATATTTCGATATTCCTAGGCTTAGTCTACAAAATAAAAAAATCACTCTTAATTTCCGGTGATGCCTCCGGTAGCAATATGTCGGCTATATTCCTTACTGTAAGCGAACGGGGTACCATTGTCACCAGACTATCCACAGATCCATAATTTGTTAGTTTGTGAGCCAGCTCGTTCAGAATTATTCCATGTCCCGATAGAACTTAGTTTCTTCGTACATTCTTGTTAATTTCTCTAGGAAATTGGGACCGCAATGCCATTCGATTCAGGGATTTGTTCTTGTGAGCCAAGTTATAATTGGATTTCAGTTCTCATACCTCTATGGGGAAGTTTTGTGTATGGAATGATGCCTCCTAGGAAAGGTAATTTCTTGGCTCTAGGCTACTATAGTCAAGCCCTTAATATTTTGTGTAGTCTATAGGAAGCAGAACTGGCTAGAAAAAAGCTACGTCTGTTAGGCATGAAACTAATCGGTTAACGTACCTATCTGGAGCATAGAGCGGAAACAAATACCGGCCGAAAGCCTACTCTCAGGTATCCATGGCGCCAATTAGTTAGTCAATGCACGCCATGACTAATCCAATGCCACTTTTTCTCTAAAATTCTTCTCTGAAAGGCTCGGAGTTCGTCAGTTGCTAATACCTTGCATTCCAATTTGCTTAAGACCAAATGGCATATTAAGTGGTTTTCAGTCTAAAAACCATTGTGGGTTAACTGAAGTAGAGTTTGGGCATTCCAAAATTCTTGAAAGATTCGACAACATACATACCTGCTATCTGCCACGGAGTTTTGAGACTGGCTATGAAGAGCTCTTTCCCAACACACACCCAAGAAAGATTATCTAAGGAACTGACATAAACTGCCTGGAAAGGTACATTCTTGGCAACCAGAGAATACTTTTACATTTATTACCTTAGAGCTCAATACAAATTGAAACGGGTTCCACGCTTTGGGCGATTATCTAAACCGTACACTGGCTGGCTCTGACCGATTTGTGATTAGCTTTGGGATATTCAATATCATTTAGTGACCCATACGAAGGACGTACGTATGATTTTTTTCTAATAAACTATCGAGGATAGAACGATCGAACGAAATTTTGCCGCGCTTGTAACAACCAGCTTAACAAAACTTTATATCAAATGATTTTTTTGTTTATTTATTTATTTATTTTTATTCTGAGGCCTTTAAGATAAACTTGGCTCTCGCAGCAGTCTACGATTTGAAGGTCGTGCCAATCATCCATTCCTCAGACTTCAATTCAATATATCCCTCATTCATAACGATTTCTGATTAGCTATGGAACTTGATTTGGAGTTCGCCACCTTCTCCCATCCTCTAACTTGATAATGGTGAGAACTGTACGACCAGTTTTTAGTCTGATTAATATCTCATCTACTTCGTTGGAACATTAGGAGCAAGCGGTTTGCCACCTATTGGAACTTTTTCTCGGTTCCAAGAGAGGCTGGATTATCTCAAGCCAAGTTGGGGTTTTATAAAGCGTGCTAAGTTATATTCTCACCTTCAAGCTTTCAAAGATAAAAGCATGCCTGCTAATCGACACATCGATAAGTCAATGATTGAGCTCTTTTGAGGTATTTTAAAACTCTGGCGGTATGTTTTATTACTTTAATATAATTTAACTCCTTTCTACTACTATCTATTTCGCCTCTAAACTTTATATACGCAACCTCTGCTAGCTTTATCAATAAGGGACTACTGGATATTTAGGTTACTTTCATTATTTATTTTTTCCAGCTTTCGTAAGACAACCAATTCAAATATTGCTTCGAGCTTTAATACTTACACCACACACTACTAAGAAGAAGTTTTAAGCGTTATTAGCATTTAAGATGAGTCAAATTTTTATGAGTCTTAATATTTAAGTGAACGATAAGTAAATAAAATAGCAGATTTTTAACAAATAAATTTATCATACAACTTTTATTTACAAGCTTAGCTTGATTATGAATCTTTACATTCATTTAATTTATTAAATTATTCGGCCTAATTGCACAGTAGGTTTGCGGGCATGCGCAGCGTTGAGCCCGCGCCAACAAACCGGTAGAAGACTAGACCTACAGCATGAGCGACACCCAAGTGCGGCCGCTGCTCCAAACCATCACTGTCGTGTAGCATAACGGCGAATATTTTCAAAACATCCGCTTCGCTCTTGAAGCTCACAAACTCCACGAAGCCCTGCACGCCGCGATAGACAAACACGCGTATGGTGCAACAATCCTCGACAAAGGCAAGCAACGTTTCAGTGGCTATTTGCAGGGTGATTAACGAATGCGGCTTGCGCGCGCTTATACTTTGAAAGCGCGTGCCGGAGAGGACATCCAAATACAAAACGACTTCAGCTTGTTGCATGCCCACCAATTGCGGTACCTCTACGGTGACTGCCAGCAGTTCAAGCGGTTCGCTTGAATGCGCACGCACTAAGATGGGCAGAATTTCACCGGCGCCAGGAGCAGGTAAATTTCTGTTGGCAAACTTTAGCCAAGTGTTGTTTTCGCGTGTGAACTCAATGGGGGTTTCTACGGTTGGTACTTTATCTGTCGCATCGAGCACGCTTGCCGACATTTCTAAGTCCTCCTCACGAGTTGTTGGCGCTTGCGTCTCTTTGAGCGCTTCGGCCTTTAGCACGCGCACCGTGTTTTCCAGATAGTGCTGCAAACTGCGTATGCACTCAATGACAGCGCTCAACTCCCACGCATGCGCAGCCGCATCGTCGCCTTCAAAGAGCTGTGTGCCATCCTCTATGCTATTGGCCAGTATGAGCACATCACGCACTGTTGTGCCCAAATGATCCATGATGGTCATAATGCTGGCCACATCTGCTGCATCAGCACCCTGTAGGTAACCCTGTATTTCCTCCATGTCCACAATGCTAGGCCACAAGATCTGCACAGTGCGCCCTGCCAATACCTGCGCCGGATTTTCGGGCAGCTGCAGCATGTCCCATTCAATGCTTTCGAAGGTCGTGTTTGGGTAGATTTTTTTGGCGCCTAAGCTCCTCCATTATTGCTATAAAGTCCTGCATCAAGTGCTCGTCGTGCAAATCCGTCTCCGGTATGCTGAGTTGTGTAATATTCACCTCAAGTCGCAGGCGGTAATTCAAGTCGTCAAGAATGTGTCCGATAACAACGCGGAAGTCAGCGAGTTGGAATTGATGCGTTAGCGAAGCATTCGGCTTTAGCACAACTTCGGTAAGGTTGTAAGCTTGTGGGCGAATTACACGTTGGTAGGAAAGGGGTAGACTGTAATTCGGCGCTGAGGTCCGCTTGTCACGCGCGCTAAACTCGTCATCGTTGAAGAGCAGTATTACCTCGCCGTTGGTAACCATAAGCGCCTGCGAGTGGTGGGGTACAAAGCGATAGCTCGTGTTGTCCAGCCAGTCAGGCAGAAACCAGGTATTGGTGTGGCTGAGTTTACTCAAATCATAGCCGTAGACGGTATCTGTGTTTAAAGCGTATAATTTGTCGGGCATGTGTGCCGATAACATCAGCTCAGTGGCCGGTTTCTCAAATGACTTCAGCAATGTAAGGTTATTGCGCTCCAGACGCCAGTACTTAAGTGAACCTTCTACGCCTGCCTTGTTAGTTACAAAGTGTATAGTGTTTGACACTGACATCCCCGCTGCTTCCATCGCGATTACTTGATTGATGGTGCCAGACTGAAAGATGACTACCTCGTCGTACATCCCACTAAGTGGGTTCCACTTTAACACACGTGTTTGATTAACCATATTAATTAGGAGGTAATTGACACCTTCGTTTTCCATAGCGAATACTGCCTGTATTTTCTCAATGCGATCAGCATCTGCTTCAACCTCCCTTTTCAAGTCCAACTCAAATGCCCGCTCCAAGTATTTCAACTGGTAACCGCGTCGCTGCTGCTTCTTCACCAGCCTCCTCAACTGCTCACACAAATCCTCGTATTGCTTACCTTCGCGCACGCTACGTATCAGCGCACCAAAGGGCATTGGTCGCGGCCGCCCGCTGGCCAAGTAGCTTGGTAATGTGGGCCCAGAGTTGACATTTAATGTGCGCGCACTCCAATTGCCGGTAATGAACTGCTGCGATTTGCCGGCCGTTCGCAGCGCGGTCCTGAACCATTCGTCCATGTTTATGCCTGACATGCGGTATTTGGTTTTTACTTCCGTTGCATTCACATCCTCAAAATAGAGCGGCGACTCAAAATGCTGGTCGCCGTTAAGCATTGCAACTTCACGCAAATCTTTATCATTGTTTACAGGGGCGTTGGTTCTTAGATTTCCACGCACTAATGCGGAATGCAGTGTTAGCGGCGTAATGACGTGTTGATTTCCATGAGTCTGAAAGTAAGTATGGAAAAATAAGAGGTAAGTAAACGACAGGATAGTGGGGAGAAGTAAAAAATACTGGAATGTTTCATGGCTAACATTGCTATTTGATATTCTCAGACAGTAGAGAACAGCCTTCCAACTGCATCGACTTTCCTTTACCGGCTGAAGATCGGTCACTAATATCGTATCGTCGGCTTAGACTCATCCAATCGTATTCATTTGAAACCCACTCATCTTCTTTGAATCCCTAGCAAATACCTCTGCGATTTTGTTGCATAGAAGTTCCCGGCTCAAAGCGGCTTCAATAACTGCCGAAGTTAATCCAGCCGGAAATAATTAAACGTTGTCAAGAGGATCAGCAAAAGGAGAAGAGTCCTACTAGGATAGAATACTACATCAATTAAGAAAATAATCTTGGAAAACAGAATAAAAACCGAGAGGGCAATCTGAGTAGCCTGGGATTCAGATTAGGCCAATCCAGTCCAAGGATAGATATTGATATTGTGTCCACCTAAAACTCAGCAGTGCTCCTATAAACACTACAATGTCTAAGGATTTTCTAAAGCTCTCAAGAAGTATAATTTTCAGCACCATAAAACTATACACACAACTTTTCTGCGAATTTCGCTTGGTGCGATAACCAATGTCCTCAAGGCAATAGCCCGCAGCTCTTGGTGTGTGACAACGAAACTTTACTAGCTACTCACAAGGCAATTGGCCTGTCGGTAGTAGCTATTATCTTATGCCTGTACAACATAAAGCAGAAATTGGCAGTGAAAGAGTGCGCTGAGGAGATCGCCTGTGTTGAATAACACGATAAAATCATGCTTGGTTGCCACTATCGCTCTATAAAACTGCAAGAGACAAGGTGAGCTCTAGCTCATCAAGTCGCCCCGATAAAAACGGCCTGACAGCCCCCTCCATCGCCTTAGTTCCAAATGCGCAAATACCTACCACTCCTGCGGAAAACTTTACGACACAGATACTGTCCAAAGTCTCTGGCTCTCTGAATCGGGTTTGGCGACTGCTGCTGTGTATCACACTTTTTCTCCAAAGAATAGGCGGGCGTAAAGTGAATTTCCAGTACTGCTGAGGGGTCGGAGGTTAATTTACGGAAATCAAAAGAACTTTTGAGTGAGTAAGTTTAAGCACCGACTCGATATCTTGGGCTTAAGCTCACTCATCAAATAGCTATAGCGCGCTTGAAAAACAATAAAGCTGCTGGACCTGACAGTGGAGTTGATAAGGTGCATGCATCAACTCTTATGCAAAATGTGGTCAGATAAACGCTTGCCCGGCGACTGGAAATTAAGTGTAATCTGCCCAATCCACAAGAAAGGCGACCCCGCCATTCGCGCCAACTACCGCGGGAGCAGCCTTCGAAGCATAGGTTCAAGGTCTTATCGAGCGTATTGTGTGACAGACTGAAGCCCACCGTCAAAGAACTGATTGGGCCTTATCAGTGTGGCTTTAGACCGGAAGAGCCGGGTATTCAAAATACGCCAAATCTTGGAAAATACACGCGGGAAGAGGATAGAAACTCACCACCTATTTGTCGACTTCAAAGCCGCTTTCGATAGCACTAGAGGGAGCTGCCTATATGCCGCTTTGGCATCCCCGTTGGATTAGGAACCTAAGCGAATGGGTCTGGCGGTCAACGAGGACAAGACGAAGTATCTCCTGTTATCAAACCAACAGTCAGCGCATTCGCGTCTTAGCACCCACGTCACTGTTCACAGTTATAATTTCGAGAAAGTAGAGAATTTTGTTTACTTGGGAACCAGCATTGACATCGATAATAATGTCAGCATGGAAATCCAACGCAGAACCACTCTTGCTACTTTGGCCTGAGTAGTCAATTTAGAAGTCAAGTCCTCTCTACACATACGAAAACCACACTCCATAAGTCACTTATCATGCCCGTGTTGGCACTATATGCTGCCGAAGCATTGACATTGACAGCATTCGAGTACCGTAGGCGATGGAACGATGCAGCGTAGTGCAGCGAATTAAAATACAGCGGCTCCGCTAGCTTGGCCATGTCGCTGGAATGGACTCCGACGCTCCAGCTCTGAAAGTATTCAACTCGGAACCCGCTGGTAGTAGAAGGGGAAGAGGGAGGCCTCCACTGCGTTGGAAAGACCAAGGGGAGAAGGACTTGGATTCGCTTGGCATTTCCAATTGGCGTCAGTTGACCCAGGAGAGAAACGACTGGCGTGATTTGTTGAACTCGGCCAACACCGCTTAGGCGGTTACAGGGCCAAATGATCAGTGCAAAAATTGAGTCTGAGTTTAAGCTCTCTTTCTATGCATGAATTCCAATGTGTCGATTTACCATAACCCTCCGGAATATATGTAGGGGATATATGAAAATACTTTATCGTTTCAATGTGGGTGTAAAGGATGAAACGAAATAGGCGATAATCTTAGCGGCCATCCTTTTGGGACGAGCGTGCCTGTGATAAAAAATTAGTTATAGCCCCCAGCGAAGACAACCCGTCTCCACTTTTGTCGAAACGTTGAGTAACTGACGAGATAAAAGCTGACTTTGCTATTTTAGATTTCCAAGATTCAAAATACAAAGACCGATGTTCTGTTATCATAGAGGAAAACGCGTAACTCTACCTACGTAAGATGCCTTTGGATACAACTAGCGTCTAGCAATTTAAACCAGAAATTTAGATATGTACTAGTTTAAACCTCGAGATAAATTTCCGAGCTTACTACAAAACCCAAGCCTAGTGTCTCGGCATTTTACTGCACTTATGTATCTGAATTTAAGTTTTAAACCAATATTCTATAGTTTACTCACCATTAAAGTATTCGCATACTCCTTTTCCAAATCGACACCATTTACCGCACCTTGCACATGAATTTGCCCATCCAAATGTAACTCGGAGAATGTAATGTTGCCGGTAAGATTTTGTGCCGTATGCAAAGTAATGACTTGCGAAAGATCAATGTCGTTCAGATAGCTTGCGTAGAAACTATTGCCATTTAAGCTGCATGGCGCAAATATGAGATACTCTGCAAAGGGAGAAATGAAAAGAGTTGGTAGAGTGGCATAAGCTCTTACTAGTTAGGAACTAATTGTGAATGGCTGCATCTAATTCGATTCATAATATATGGTAATGGGTCTATGAAGAATCATACTCATGCTAAGGATCAAGAACTTGATAACCTTGAAGCAATTTTTTGCAGACTAAAAATAGTTATTTTAAGATAAAGTGCTACATAAATAGTTGTGAGCTCCTAGAATAAAACTAGCTGAAAATTCTACCTAGCAAAATTTAGCGCAAGTTTAAGCTCAGACTCTAACAATAATTTCTGATCCCAGCTGGAACTCCTAAAAGAATAGGAAAAATCTACCATAGATGGGAATGAATTTGCCTTGGTTTAGGTTTCGTAAAAAGAAGTTTGCATTTCATTCAGTGAGTTTAATTTAAGCCAGCCAGCTCTGCCTGCTCTAGTCAAATTTATCCTGCGATGCTTTAAGGCTTTTTGACATTATTCTCGAGCACGAAAAATGAACAGATGATCGCATAAAACCTAATCGAGTTTGTAACCAAAAATAATAATTTGAAAATGGTAAAGAAATTTCATCCTAAAATACTGCTATTCGCGAAGAGGCCTTCAAGCCCATTTGAAGGCTAGAAATATTTACTAGCTGAGCATCGGTGTGCTAGAGTTTGAAATGAGCGTAGTACTCTTCTGCACCTCCCCTGCGAGTTCCCAGAGGATGAGCGCTGGCCTTAGCCAAATTATCTGGCCACACTTGCTTACTCTAGAGTCCTTATTAACGACTGAGGCGAATTTCTCATTCCTGTAGCGAGGGAAATGCGACCACAGCACTTATTTGAATTTCTCATGCCTCAACAGGAGAGTTTAAGAACCCTGAAGCTCTTTTATACTTTATTTGTGAAGTCCGTAGACTTCAAGCAGATTATAGGGGCACGAAAGCAGTCCAACAAATAGAATATGGTCTGTATTTTAACTTCTACAATAAAAAAACCTTCTTGGGAAGAGAGTTTTTTGGATTACTCTTAATTGAACGCAATATGAATACCGAAGTGTAGAGCTGTCATGTCGGTTCTTCAATTAAATTATGAGCTACGAAAGTACTTTCATTTTCAAATTTTAGCCCAGGTCGGATTGTATAGTCCGCATTAACTCTTCAGCAAGTAGAACAAATTGTTTCAGGAAGGTGAAGCTTCCTGGAGAACCGAGTGTTTTGAGTTACTCCCATCTGAACGTAATATGAATACCGAAGATAAAGCTGTCGTGTTGACTCTTCAAATAAATTATGAGCTACAAAGGTTTAGGAATAAAATTAATTTTACCTGAAAAGAAGGTTTTTTATTATATTTTCAAACCTTAAAAATAATTCACCCCAATATGCAGAAAAACTGAAAACCTTTTTTGAAAGTTTTTAAACCAAACTCAAGAGCTTGTATGTATGTAGATAAGTGAGGTAATTCTTTCTTATGATGATTTTGTTTCTAGCAAAAAATGTCGCTTTTTGATTGCCCCTTTCTCTTTTTGTATTCGATTCTAAAATAAAGGCAATCCGGTGAGAAAATTTTGTGTTCGCCACACCCTTGTAAGGAAAAAAAGCACATTTTCACCCTTTGAGGCTTTGTCAGGAGAGATAGTGCAGTGATGGCCAAGCTGCATTAAAGTTTCCTTTCAACTTCATTCATATTGTGTCCTTAGGCACTCCCGGTTGCCAACCCTTTAATCTAATATCCTTCTAATGAAATCTACAGCAAGTATCTGCTCTCTGAGCTAGAGGGACTGTAAATTATTTATTGGCATTTTAACCGATTTTCTCTATCCGTTGCCTGCGTCTGTCCCTCTTGTCTGGATAATGAAGACAGTGCTTACACCTTATGAGCAATTGCCCGACATTCTCTTACCTCGGGGGGGATATTCTTGCTCATTCTCAGAACTCCCCCATTTCGGCGAATTAGTGGAAAGTAGTTAGAGGTGGAGAGGAAGATGAAATCTGTGTCTATCCTATCAGACGTTAATCATAATACTCGCATATTTTCTTTAGTACTTCTATTGCTTTAAAATATGGCTTCCAAGTACTCCTCGACGGAGTCTTCTTGCCTTTTCTCCTCAAATGCCCTACAATTTCGAGAGATTAAAATTAAGACACTTTTTTATTACTCTAGAACTATTAAATGTTTCTACCTGAAATAAGTAAGCGATACTCTGAGTAAACAGTTCCACAGCTGCTGGAGCCGTGCGGTAAAATATTTTGATCGAAAAATGGCACGAGTGGCAAATGCTTATTTGTCAAGGCATCTTCCTTACTTTCTTTCTCTCTCTCTCTCTCGCTTCTATTCTAATACTTTTGGTTCATTTCTCTACAAGTTGGAATTCAACAACAAATATCAGATAATAATAATAATAGATTGGCGCTTACACATATGTTAGTGTTTGGCCGAGCTTCTCCTCAGATACTTTGTTGAAAAAGAGTCCTTAACATTTAAGTCTGCTATCTTATGATACTCATTTCCTACTCACGTTCTATTTCCTGCGGTTTATCCAGCCGCAAAGTGTCCGTGAACCACTCCTTCAATGCAAACCCATTTAAATGAGTTGCCTCAAGTGTATCCTGTACGAACCAATTTTGCGCGCGCACTGAACCCTTGAATGTCAGAGGTGCCCTTATCAGCACCGGTTGCGGTTCGTTCACATAGACGATATTATCAAATAGCGTCAAAAGGTTATAGCCATTCAAGTTGCGTATATATGCGCCTTTCTCTATACTCACGCGACCAGTGAAAGTATTCGAACCTTTCAGCATACAAACTTTATCCTTGTAGACCAGTTCGTCGAAGAAGTGTGCCAAATTCGGCATCTCATTAAGTTGGCCGCGCACAGTTAGGTCTTGCAAGTGTAACTGTTGCGTGCTGAAGTTTACAACGCCTTGCATTATGAAATTTCGCATGTCATGATCAAAGCGTATCGCTCTGCTAAATGCAGACATTGGTTGTCCGTTAAGCGCGCCAGCGAGTTCAAGCTCATTTACGATTAGATTGCCGTGCAGCTGCAGAGTGCCGCGGAAGTTACAAATGGTTTTCTTGGTGGCGATGTCTGAGAAGGGTATGCCGTTGAGAGCCTCCAAGTGTGTGTCGCGCACGACTTGCACACGCTGCGTGAAGCTCTTTGGGGCGAACACTTGTACTGTGCCGTTGGTGGGTTCGCGGAAAATCATATCATCAATGATCGCTTGCAGGTTCATGCCATTATATGCGCCGTTTATTTGGAGTTTTCCATGTACCACGAGTGGATCGCTGAATGTGAGGCGTGTGCTTAGGTAATTGGGGCGATTCAACCACACAATGGTGAGTTGCAAATCCTCATCGAAGCGTTGCTGATTGAGCTTGTGTACGTGAACATCGCCGGTAACTATGACGTGATCCACTACGATTTTACCATCCAAAACCATTTGGGGCAAGTCATCGATCTCATCGAGAAAACTCCAAACCAGCGAAGCGTTAATGCCATGAATTTCATCTACGTCTAGGCCGTAAGCGAGCTTGAGCTCTTCTATGTAAATGTTGCCGGTTGGCATGTTTCCGCTATCCTCATCAGACTGCGCCTGCGAGTGCATATTCCATTTCGCGTTGTCGCCTTCAATATTTCCCAGTATATCAGCCTCCTTAGCTTGTAGCAGCTCAAAATACGCAACGGGTATATTCATATCCTCATCGATGGTTTGATAGTTCTCCGCTATAGGCGCGCCATTTAGACTAGTCGTTACATCCACTTCGTCGCTCTGTAAAGCGTTTGCGAAACTTAGATGTGTGTCCAAAGCTACCTGTGGCTGATCTATTCTGATCGCATTCTGCATAAGCTCCTCCAGATCCACGCCATCGTAGCGACCACTAAGCGTGAGATTGGAAAAATAAACATACGCCTGCAAGGCGGTCATATCCAACGTCTGCTTTGTATGCGCCGGCACGAAATTCTCCACTGGTATGTTATTCAACTTGCCATCCAACACTTCAAAGTCCAACGGCATTTGCACGTCGCTAAAGCGCTTTTTAGCACGCACGGTGATAGTGGCCTCAGGATGTGCGGGTCGTTGCACGATATCACGCAAGAGAGGTTCAAGCGGTTGCCCGTCATACAGCCCCTTTATGTGTATGGGACCATGCACCTGCAGCTGCTTAAAGTTGCAAATAGCCTCAATCTGATTTGAGTCCTTCAACGTAGGGTTGTTTGGTAGATTGCCGATGTCACGTCCACGTGTGGTGCCATTGAGCTATTAAAGAAAGCGAAAATTTAACATTAAAACTGTGAGTTGATAAAAAGAGGTAGTGATACCATACCTGAAAGATCTCCGTAATTTTGAGGTTGGCGAAAGTTGGATGTCCAAGCCATTCTTGTGCGCCGCTCAACGTAATGGCGTCCGATGCGTTCACGGCGTTCAGCAAACCTTCAGTGTCGAGCGCCTTTACACTCAGCGTGTCGGTGAAAGTTTTTTCGCCGCGCACAACGCTAACTGTAGGACCATCAGACCAGAGGAAATCATCAGGAAAGTCGAGTGAGTTCAATGCATTCAACGAGATTTTGTTCTCGATTACAACTTCCTGAAAGTACATATGTGGTTCCATTAGACATAAATATTAAAAGACCAAAACCGAGTGCTGGAGTAGAACTTTGGAAGATCGGAAAATGATTGTAGAAGGTTGCGGAATAGTACAAGTGCCCCAGGAAAAGGTCAGAGACAACAACTTTATAAGCGAGTAGAAGCATTCAAATCGTTTTGGGCTATCGGTACCAAATTGAAGTTAATTAGTTTACTATATTTCTCGGAGTAGTTTGATTCCTTCCAAAGTAGGAGAAGATGATGTATTTTGAAAAGAGTTTCAGTCAGCCCTTGTCACATTTGGTTTGGAGACAAACCGGTTACAGAATTGTGTCCCCTTAGGTTTATTTTTTTTCTTTAATATAAGCACAATTTCTGTACTATTTAGCAGAAGGGGTGGTGAGTCAGAGACGCAACCTTTTCAACATCTCCTAAACGAAGTCATTGTCTTTTGACGAACTTCCCACACATTTTTGGGAAAACTCTTCGATGAAGGCTGGCCATCTCATTTTCGAAGTCGATGTAGAGATTGATTGAATTTCCGAAAAGACATTTTTTCTCCTGGTCACTAAGATAAGATTTCGTGTTCGCCCAGTGATCTCCTGAACTTTTGAAGAGGTGACCATCTAACGAAACTATTCTCTCGAAAGGTCGGCACCCATTGCTCAGATCTTATTACGCTTTCAGAGCTAATGGTTGGAGTCAAGCTGTGAATTAGTTTTAAGACAAGGAAATGGGTTAAAGGAATCAATTTTGGAAAGTAGTTGCTCTACTTCCATTCAGAAAAACAAGCTCTCCTTTTCTATATGCGACTAAGACTAAATATTTTTATTGAGTTCACTTGCGAAACTAATTATTTCCAGTTAGGTAGTTGTGGATTGATTATCTACACTGGCCAGGATAGACAAGAAGAGTTTTTTGACAGCTGACTTGGTTTCATGCGAGGTTACGATAGAGATAGGATCGCAAATGAGATAGGAAAAGCATCTGTGCTTGTGCTGCGGTCAGTTGAACCCCGATGAAGTGATATCTGATTGAGGGTGGTAGGGGGAAACGCAATGGCATTATATCGAAGACTACTTCCCAGAATAAGTTAGAAAAGGAAAAGTGAATGCCCTGAAATGAAAGGCACTCGTACATTATTCCCCGACCATCGATAATAGCAAAACCTTAGAAGCTGATGATGGACGTAAGAAAACCCAAAAAAAAAAATTTCCAAACACCTGTTCACGAGTAGAAACCCCTATTGGGAATAAACCCCGTTACAGTAGATGGTTCTGAAGTTCGCATTTTGCCAAATGTAGAATACCTAGGTCGGTCCAGCCGTAGCCAAGGGAGCCAAAGCTTTAGTGCTATAAAACGCTACATAGATCCAATTACGGTGCACTAAGTTACATCATCTAACTGGAACTTGAGAGCTGTTGAAGAGGTCCTTGAATTCACACTACTTCACAGGAACGGAAAACATGTATCCAAACAAGTTCTGCAAACGGAAAATTAGTACAATCCCAGTACTTGGAAACGATCAAAGCTCAATTATCACAAAATGACAGCAAGGGTATAGCGACAGGAAAGCAGGCGACCCTTAAATTGTGTAGATACATCCCGATGGATCTTTTAATTTGATGAGCAGACGGCGTTTTCCATACAAAGATCTTGGAGCTGGCATCTTTGTACCCATGTAGTCGTCGTCTTAAGTCATGGTCAAAGGCCTTCCTTTTCATTGCAATAAAGTCCTCATTAGCTGAATACTTTTACTAAAATAAAACTACCTATCCATCTCCTCATCTCCTCTGGGTCTCCGGCCGCCAAGACCAGATACGTTTGATACACAGGCAGCAGAAACAAAATAAGTTGTGTAGTATAGCGCTGGATCTTCTTTGAAATATGACCACACATTAGAAAAAAGCGTGAAAAGTGGAGGACAAATGTATTGGAATCAGACATGCGGAAGGGCAGGTAAACAAGTTTTTGGATGATTCAAAAAGCTTTCAATTCTCCTCAATAAAGCGGTGTTCTATGCATAGAATGAGAGAAAAACCTGGGCTCATCAAAGCCAAATCACTTGCATTCATTTTCATTAAGCCAATTTGTGAAAATTTGTTTGGTGGTTAGGTCTGACAAAGTATTAAGAAAGGAAAACAGATCTCTAGTGAAGCAAAACAAAGAACATCGCAATCTTAAAGAATTCCTGTAATGAGTCCTAACCTCAAAAGGATCTTGATAGCCCAATTTATAATTTTAACTGATTTAACTCGTCAGCAGTTAAAGTTAAAGTGTTGTAGTCTTTGTCTAGTCAAGGCCGATCAATTCCACAGGACATTCCCCTAACTTTCAGTATCCTCGAAACGAAGACGGCATTCTGTTTCTGTTCACAGACTAACTGGCTGTACATATATGGGAAGACGGACGATTACGAAGTGTAACCAATGAGTAACCTTATACCGGATTTATTTAATAGTTTTGTAGCTTTCTAAGCCTACATATACATATGAGTAGAATATTTTTAGTCTTTCAATGAACTGGCTTATCCGATACTGGATCGACCTGCACAAACTTAAAGTGGCTTAAAGCTCACATTCTGCAGACACCTAGTTAAAGATTAAAGGTATAAGAGAAAGGATAAGTGAAAGATTGGATAGTCGCTATGTCTTTCTGACTGGCACCTAAATAAAAGTTGTCGGTATAATAGCGGAAGATAGGGAAGAAAGAAATATTGACAGATGACATGAAAATCTCAAGACTCAGAAATGCCGCAAGAATCTTAAGAGGTTCAAAAAGGCCGCGAAAAGGGTAAGGCAGATCTATTGAGTGGGAACCAAAATCAGATTATATAGAAATAAATATGTCACAAAACCGAAGTACTAGTTATATGAGGAGGTGTCTCAATTTCTGGGAAACTTGGAAAAAATTCTACTAAACACTTTTGAAAGTGATGAAATTTTTTTTTTAGATATCTGAGTTTTAGTCTCAAACTTACCCCATCCACTTCGAGCTGAGTAAAGCCCAACGGCACATCTGTAAACACCATATTCTCCTTTATTTCCTGCCAGCTTATGCCATTAATGGACTCAAATTCCAAGTCGCCATCGAACACTAGTGTGTCACTTTCCTCTATGCTGCTCTCATCTTCATTCTCGTCATCTGCTTCCCGCTCCTCGGCTGCACCCAAATGTTCCAAAACTTGCATGTCTTGTACATTCAAAAGCCCATTGAACTCTAGCATCCCATCCTTCACATAAAAATCTTCACCGTTGACTTGCTGCACAATCATTTCATCCACTTCCAGACTATCAAATTCCAAGTGTTCGAAATTGAACTCATCAAAAGCAGTGTCGCGTCTATGCCTGGCAATGTTTAAATCCGATGCCAGCTGTTCAATAGCTGTTATTACATGATCCAGATGAAGTAAAGTATCTTCGTCCGTCCAGCGGTAGTCGTTAACATAGATTTCACCCACCTCACCATCATCCAAAAGAAGTTCTGGTGTTTCTAGTTCTTCGAGCTGCGTAAGATCCGGTTGTGTCATTGGCGTGTCGCCAGCAGGTCCTTGAAGAAACGTTTGTGCTTGCGCCACCAAGTCATCCTGTTCCTTCACCCAATCCTTTAGGAAAGCGAAGATCTCCTGCAGGTCAAGGTATTCTGAATTCTTCGCTAGCAGTTCAGTGTGCAGCTTAAATAGCCCAGACTCAGCATTGTGGCGCGGTACAATTAACGACACTTCATCGCCGCGTCGAAAGTAGGCTGCGCCTTTTAGACCGGCATCGCGTTGTATATCCAACATACAGCTCACGCCAAAGACTGTGTGCTTCCCAAGCTTGCATGGTACCGGTATGCTGGCCTCAAACGCCTCGCCATCCCATATCAAGGTCTCGAGCACCGTGAGGCTGTGCGTGCTGAAGTCGACACGATGTTGTACGAGCAGTATCAGATCGTCACGGTAGGTGCGCACCGGCACTGGAAAGAAGAGCTGCACAACGCCAAAATTATGCGCCAATATTGTTTTGGGCAAAAGCTCACCCTGCTGATAGAGTAAAATTTGTGGCTGCTGACCGCCAATTGCGATATAGCTACGTCCACCCATTTTGAAGCTGGCGATAGACTCAATATCATCGGATGCGATTTGCTGCTTGAGTTTGAAACGCAAGTAGTCTGTGGTGTCGGCGCGCGGATTGAATGTATAGATGGCAGCTGTTTGGTTCTGTGGCACGGCGAGTATCAGATCACGACCCGTATCGAGTAAGGTGGTCTCGGGGCAAGGAAACTCTAATTGCATGCGCTGTGCAATCCAAAATTCGCGTGAGCCTAGGTCGAATTGATAAATATTCAGCGTGTAAAAGCCGGTATGTGAGGATTGATTTGTAGACACAACCACGTAGTCTTTGCTCTCTACTGTGAAGTAAGTGAGTCCAGTGATAGTGTTACCCACAACCCATTGCCAGTACAATTCCACTCTGCGCGTCACATTATTAACCCGATACCATAGCACACGATCCTGCTCAGCCACTAAAATAACACCTTCCGTTTGTGATTGCGCGTCATTCCAGAAGGAGTACGTGGTTAAGTAGGATATGTGCTGACCCACATCGACAATTATGCCTGTCTTATATGTAGCGCTCTCTTTATGCACAATCAACAGATCTCGTTCACGACGTCCCACAAAATACTCCGTGCCGTTGTGCTGTATATGCGCCCATTGTTGCACGTCATCGCCCAGATTGAAGGTGAAATCCTCCTCGACGGATTTGAGTATCAAAGCTTCACGGTTGCGACGTTTCGAGAACTCCAGCCGACGCAGTTTACGCATATCGAATTCGTGAACAACCTGCGAGTTGGCTTCCACCAAGTTGGGCATCCCATTTGGCGAAGTTTGCTCGCCGGCACCGACCAGATCATCGTCGCTGCTATCATGTGCTGAACCAACCACTTTTCCGAGCGCTTCGCGACCAGCCTGTTGTGCATTGAGCTCTTTTGTGAGTTGCTGCACCTGGCGTTCGTTTTCCGTTTCCTGAGCGCTGCCTTTGCTGATTTCCTCACGAAGCGCCTTTACCTCGTCGATACGCTGCTGGGTTACTTCGACTTTGGCTTTAATTTTGGGATCTGGCTTCTGCCCTTGCTCCGACGTCCAGGAGGGTTGGACTATGACGCCCTGGAAAATGAGAAAGGCGAAAGTTTCTTGAGAATAAAAAAGCAGTAAAGAAAGATAAGCTTAAACTTAAGGAAATAAGAGTAAACTGGGCTGAATGAAACATAAATAATGGAAAGGAGAGGGAAAGATACTAACGAAAAGGGAGCAGAGGACAGAAAAAGAGGGGATAGGACAAAATAGGATACGTAAGGAAAGGAAAAAAAAATTAAAGAAATAATAATGAAAGTAAAGTAATGGAAATAATAGAAAAGAAATGTCAAGAAAGCGCCGGAAATAAAATAAAATAAAATAAAAAAAAATAAAAAAAATAAAATAAATAAAATAAAATAAAATAAAATAAAATAAAA